AACAATTTATATTTAAATCTGGCTTTCTGAAATAATATCAATGTTCTTGACTGGTTCGCCCAGTTTTCTAATCTTAATTCAATTAAATACTTGTGAGATAATATGAATATTATAATTTTTTTATATAAAAAGTTTTGTTGCAATTGAGAAATTCAACTTCTCTATATATCCATCTAAAATATAGATTCAAAATGCATGTTCAAATAAAATTTATTATTTCAGAAGAAAACAAATGAGTTTTGATTTTTTATTGTTATGATTATTATTATTATCATTATTATTCCATCATCCACCAATTACACCTTCTTATATATTTGTATTATTTGAAAAGAAAGAGGACATAGTATTATTATTGCTACTGTTATTCCAGTTCTTTAAATAGTATTAGTATTTTAAGAGTTTAAGGCTTTTATCTATAAAAAGCAACAATTAAGAAATTTCCCAGAACACCCACCTGAAACACATAATTTCCCCCAAATCGACATAATCAACGATATCCATAGATGTCGGCACAGGCTATAGAAACCGGAACAGATACTGCTCAGACTATTATCCTCTCCCAAAAGACTTTTTGCAGCAAAATCACCCAAATCGCTTAGCTTAAACGTAACCGCAACAGAAAATTATAATCAAGAGACCAGAACCAAATTATTGCATAACGATCAGAATAAATACATGGATTAGATGATGTTATTGATTTGAATTTTAAAACTAACTATCGCTAGAATTTATTGATAAAATCTTTTCAAGGATAACAGCAAAATCAAATGACATTTTTCTTTCCCCAAACTCTTACAAACGTAAAACCAGTTCCTAATTCAATGCACTCGGCTTTACATTGATGCCAAAATTGTTCATGTTCTTCTGGAGTCAAACATAATTCTCCAATGATGCCATTAGCCGGGGCCAAGCGTTGTTACCCGTGTATCCCGTTGGTTATTTATTAATTGCTCGTTGTCAAGAAGAATTTTTTTAAGATTTAAGTCGGCGCTTCTTTTAAGATCCATTAAACTGAAATCGTTGAAATTATTACAAAATAAAAATAATAATTAAATCCTCAAATAATTTTGAACTTACTCATTTTTAATAACCGTGCCAGTTTGGTTCAGAATTAGAGAAAGTGAATTCAAAATCTGAAAGCTCAAAATATCCGCCCGGTTTTAAGAATTTATCAAAGTAAATAATCATATGTATAGAAGAATATGACAAAATTAGCATTTTCTCTGTTATTGGGCATAATTTTCTACGCTAACCACAATCTGCATGTGTCCTATTCGAACCATATCAAATGAGTTTTCCTCAAAACCTAATTGTTCCAATCGCATCAAATTACACTGAGTAGATTGGTTCGATATCAACACCAAAGAAGTGAGAGTTAAGATAATGCGTTGCCATGTCAAGAAGCCAAGCTCCCGACCCACATATAAATGTGAATTACCCTCCATCTAAAACACGAGCTTCATCTTTAGCTTCTCTTCCATTTGACAATAAAAATTACTTCTGAATACATGTTTGAGGATAAAATGGTAACGTTGTATCCGGTCGGTTTCATATTTTAATTTATAAAATTACTACTTTGTTGTTTGTCTTGCTAATCTGTCAAATTAATCTTTTGTTTGCTTGGAGTCGATTTTGAATTTCCCATATTTATTATAAAAATCGTGAACGATAAAGACGATGTTGATGTTGACGATAATGGTGATGAGAGATCATCTATTATTTATCAAATTCTGCTAAAGTTGCAAGAAATTGGTTTCTAAGCCTTATATGCAGAATTGAAAATAAATAAATTTGTCTTGAACACTATCGCTATCAAAAATTTTTTCGTGTTAAAACAATACGTATTTTGTTTATTCTATTGTGTTTAGATTAGGTAAGTTTCAAATCAAGAATTTCGATGAATTACATGTACATGTATTACATAATTTCATATTGCTACGTACGTATCTCATTACATGTACGTGTAAATTTAAGTTTAATGAAAATTTATATCGAATACATTATCGTTATTCTTTTCTTTTTCTACAATTTAAGAAAACTTTTTTATGAAATATTGGATTCACCTAGTTTTGTATGTATAAAATCAATTAATTGCGTGACAAAGTATATACTTTTAATTAATATGATATATATGCAGTAATTTGAAAAATCTTGATATTTTCTATTAACTTAATTCAATAATAAGATTTCGATTTCAAATATTTAGAGAAAAAATTACTTGTATTTCTATTAGATAGCCTGTGTTCTTTATATTAAATAAATTTTAATTTTCTCATAATTTTTCAAATCAATTATGTAACCATTTAATAAAAAGAAATACAGACCTAGCAGAATATTGTAAACAATTCTTAAAATTGAATATATTTAAAAATTTATACACTATATGATATTTCGAATTCTTTAAATCTTTGTGATACAAAAATTCATGCAGTAGTTCTTGATTTTTATAAAATCATATTTTTTTGATCAAATTGAAGATTTTTTTGATAAATTTTAATATTTTTAATATTTATTTAGAATATAACTTTGAAATAAAGTATAAATAAATTATTAATTGTAAATTATAAATATTATATAAAAAATTTTATATTTGTTGTATACAATTTTGAAAAGTTAGCTATTTAATATAAAAATAAGAATCATAATTATTCTATTATTCTATTATATTAATAGTGATTGTCTACTATTAAAAAGGTATTTCAGTTTTATCAAAAAAAATACAATTTTATAAAAATCAACATTTCTTAAGAATCCGCATGAATTTTTTTGATTCTTTTAAATTATAAAAATCTCAAGAATTCAAAAAATATCATAAAATATAAATCTTTAAATTTATAAATTTCTATTTAATTTTAAAGTGCCCATAATATTCTGTTAGATCTCAGTATATGAAAATTGCAAATTAATTAACAAACTATATATTTCAAAGAAAAAAATTATCTAAAACCAGAATATGGAGTTGACTGACTATTTAAAGGTTGATGTTTTGGATAGAGAATAAAGTATGCTTAAATTTAAATTATATCAAAAAAGATATAAACCAGAAACATGGCTCCTTGATATAGTATTAATATTAATCCAGTCCAAAAAAAATCTGTGCCGTAGAACTTTTATAAATATGATTCGATGCAATTAGAGACTCAGAATTTATTTGGTTTGATCTAAACGAGCTTTACAATAATAAAAATGTGCGAGTTTAGAAGTTTTAATTGAATTTTTAGTTAAGTGTTTATCATTTACAGTACAGTCAACCCTCTCTATTGTCAACATGATGGGACCAGGCATTTTTGTTGATATATAAGAGGGTTGATAACTCAGAGGTTAGAGTTAGTATCAATATATTAGTCCAAGTGAAATTTGTTCTGCAATAAATGTTGGTAATAGAGAGGTATTGATATTAAAGAGGTTGATAATAGAGAGGGTTGACTGTATTATAATAAACCTTAATTTCTTATTGTAAAGCAAAAAGTCGATGAGGAATACAGGTTACATAACTTGATTCATCTAGAGGTCAGCTGAAGTTAATATAAAATCATGAAAAATAAAATTTTTTCAATATTAAATAATAACTCGATTAATATAATTACATGTAATATCATAATGAATTAAAACTTTGAAACCTTTATAATCAGTGTTCATTCAAACTTGTGGTCCAATCAAATTACTCGATTAAAAATACCGTGATTTGATTGGGTCCACCAATTTGAACTTAATATTTTTACTAGCTTTCTTCATTTTGAAAAAAAAATTAAATATTAAAATAGACAAAATTTATTTTCATTATAGAGATACATGTAAATGTATCAGTAAATATAATGTTGGTAAATTATTAGAACATATTGTATTTGGTTTTATAAAAAAATCGAATCAAAAAATTTTGTTAAAAACTTGCAAATATATTATCATAATTATATTTAAATTAGTAAAATTATTTGGAATTTGGATAGCAGTCAGCTTGGATCGCTAATTGTAATATATTCTTTATCATATGACTTTTTAACAAAAACCAATTTTAAAAATGTGTATCCTTTCTTAGAAAAGCTGTTTGTGTGAATTGACTTGAATACGTCATAACCAAGGAAATGAAGAGCATAAATCAAACCATCCAATTTTTTTTTGTTATATAATAACATTAATTTCACTTAAACTAAATCATCTCATTATCACCGAATATAAAATCGTAAGTGAAACGGAGCATTTCTTTCATATACTTATTATAAAAAAGGAATCAAATATCTTCACATTATCTCCGAGTATAAATCATAAGTGGAACGAAATGTTCTCTTTACCTAACCTATTATAATAATTTTCAATTATTATGAATTCATTTTACTTCTGATGAATATAATATGGGCAATAAAAAGTCAGTATGGTTAGATTTAATTATGCTTTAGTACATTTTACACCCTTTTCCGATCGTACTGATCTTCGTATTACCCTTATAATGACATCCTTGCTATGACATTTGTTTCGGGATTCGGGTAATACGTAGTTATTAGCCTATCGCTAGAGAATTTTACCCCTGTATGATGGATTTAAACGTCTACTCCGCAAGATTTTCCGATCAGAGCGGATTAAATTTTCGCAGTAGATCCAAGACCTATTGTTTTCCTATAGGCACTGTTGCAGTAATCAATCAGAAATTTACTCTGTAGTTCTTTTCTGCTTACATGGTCTTTCGGAAGACCAATTTGAGGCTCTTTCTGTTCGATTGGGTCATTAATTAAATGTCTGTGCGCAATAAGCCACCAAATATTACCGCTGATCATTAAATTATTATTGTTGCAGTGGCGTGATATTTCTATTGTACATGTACATGTATAACGATAAACCTGTCATTTATATGAACCTGCTTTTTACATATACTGTACGTATATAAGTTTGTCATTTGCAGCTGTATCTTTTTTTCCAGAAAATAAGCCTTTTTCATTAATCTATTATTATAATTACCATAGATTATATAATATTATTTGTCTTTAAAATTAAAAATGGGAAATAAAATGACGAGAAGTTCACGTCAAAAGCGCAGCGTAAAGCGACGTGTTAGTAAAGAATCTATCATGTCAAGTGGTTCGTACGCAGAATCACAAACAACCTCAGAATATACAGCAGATTCAATGGATAAACGTGCGTGTTTTTTTCATAATAACAAAATGTAATGGTATTGATAATGTGTTTTGGGCGAAAAAAATAATTACAATTTATATTTAATAAAGGTGTTGATAGTATCCAGCAACATTACAATTTCATCCAACATATATGGCAAAGTTGTTTTTCTGCACCTGTGGAAGAAGCACTTATGCGGGGATCATTTGTGCTAGATATTGGGTAATAATGAAAATAAATATTTATGCTTCAGAATTAGAATAAATGTAATTTTTTATAAATTCTATTTAAGATGTGGCACTGGAAATTGGCTAAAAGAAATGGCAAATGAATACAAATGCAGTGAATTCGTAGGCGTTGATATTCTACGTCACCTCACTGCCGAAGTAAATCAACTCACAAACATTACTTTTGTACAATCAAATGTCTTAGAATTATTGCCATTTGAGGAAAATCACTTTGATTACGTTCGAATAAGTAACATGATTCTGTGTTTTCCAGAAAACGAGTGGGGAAATTTATTGAATGAAGTTGCGAGGTTCTTTTTCGATTTTTTTGGTTTTTTAATCTTACTTGTATGAGCAGATTGTTTGATTGATTACGATTTTATATTTAGAATTTTAAAACCGGGAGGATATGTTGAAATAGGTATTTTAATTTATTAAATGATCGATTGTTTTTGGATTTATCTAAATTAAATTTATTGTTATAACGAATGTAAATAGAAGAACCAGATTTGGAAATTTCTAATCGAGGACCAATTTTAGATCATATGGTCTCATGTTGTAAGTGATTTATCTTTCATGTACATATCAACGTAAAGTTTCAATAACAAATGAAGAAATAATTCACAATAAATAATCTAAGGCTTAGAAATATACACACAACACGGTATAAACAGTAAACTTCACACCAGACTAGAACTCTACCTCGCCTCTACAAACCAATTCACAGATGTCGAATGGGACCACAAAATATTCTCATTTTCATCGTTTAATGATATCCCTGGGTTATCTTTAGGTGAAGTATCATACTATTTTGTCGGTGATATTGCACCCCGAATTGCTGAATATATGGGTGTCACGGAAAAAGAGCTGATATTTATGTTTGACCAGATACAGGGTGAGTTGAAGTCGTACGATACTTGTATGCATTATTATAGATATTGGGGGAGAAAGATATCTGTATAATGTTTTAATTTTTTGTTGACATTAATGATGGTGTTTTGTTTATACATCTGATGGGATGTATATTTTATAGTCATTATTGGGTAAAACATATTATAAATTTATAAGAAATAGTTAATATGAACTTGTACATATAAACTAATTTAATATAACTGTAAAAAATCTGATTTAGAACTTTTGACTTTGGATAAAATTTTTTGATTTTATATTATTAAACCTGGAATTTTTAAATTATATCAGGTTCTTCTTCAAATTATTTATCACATAACTGATTCTTTTTGGTTTATTTGTCAATTTTATATCACTGTAAAAAAAAAAACAGAATTCTTTTTCCAGAAATTTTCAGGATCTTTTCAGAATTCAGGAAATTTTCCAGAAAATTTAATCTAATAAAAATCTTAATACTGCTTTTTAGCTAGCTTTTATCAGACTTAAATCAAATTAAATATTTTTAAAATAATAATATTTAATCTGAAAAAATCCTAAGAATAAGCCTAATATAGTAATTGAACTCATACTTGAGTTAATTCAAGTTGATTCGAATCAAACTTGATTCAAGTCATAATTTTTCTGACTAGAGTCTGCAATATTTTGACTCAATAATCACTTTGACTCGAGCCAAGTTTGATTTGAATTATATAGTAACTCACACATATAACAGAACACAAAAATTAACTTACTAGGATTTTTATTTTCATAACTATTATATAATTCAAACAAAATAAAAAAGTATTCATTTGAAATCTTGAAATTGCTAATATTTTTTAGCAACAGATTATTTTGTGAAATAAAATAATTTAAATCAAAATTTATAATTAATAGATTTCTTATATTTAAGAACTTTTTTTTAATAATAGATTCAAATTTGAATTACTAATTAAAAATATTTCACTTTATAAAATCTATCTATTTATCAATTTTCATAAAAATCAGCTTAATTTTTATAAATATTTAAGATTCAAAGACTGAATTTATACTAAAAGTATTAATATATGGATTAATGCTTATAATATAGATTTAGTTCTTTAGAGTTTCAGATTTTAGTAAATTTTCTGACAATTTTTATGAAAATTGATAAATAAATAAATTTTATAAAATAGAACATTTTTAATTAGTAATTCAAATTTGAATTCATTATAGAAAAAAAAGTTCTTCAATATGAAAAATTTATTAATTGTAAATTTTAATTTAAATTACTTTATTTACAAAATAATTTGTTGCTAAATTATTTTTAAAAAATATTAGTGATTTCAAGATTTCAAATAAATACTTTTTTATTTTATTTGAACTAATAGTTATGAAAATAAAAATCCTAGTAAGTTAATTTTGCATTCTATTATATGTGTAAGTTACTATAAATTACTTGACTCGAATTATCTGATTTAAATTAACTCATATTTTGACTTATATTCTAACTCAAGTACTTTTTGAGTCAGAAAAATTATGACTCGACTTGATTTAAATTAAAATAAGTTAATTTAAATTCAATTACTAGTTTAATATTATTACTATTAGTAACCTTTACAGATAAAGATCTTAACTAAAACAGTAGGCAGTGACTGCATTGTGTGAAAAAATGTGAAGGAATAAGCAAAGTGTGAAATAATTTTCTAATACTATTATTTGTTAGCTAAAATGCTAAAAGATTTACAAAGAATCTAAAAAACTTTTAAGAATAAAGTGTATTTTATAAGAATAAAAGAAGTTCACCAAGAACTAAATGAATTCACCAAATATTTAAAGTATTTGTAAAGAATTTTTAAGAAAGATAAAACACAAAGTTCTTTTATATTTTAACGAATACTTCACTAAGAAGTAATTTAAATTTACCAAGAATTTTTATTATTAATCAAGAAAAGAAAACACAAAGGAATCAATTCTTCTGATGAACACATAGTAAGTCAGTTATTATATTTATTTAAAGGATAAAAGCAAAGAAACTTTATTAACACTAAGTTAATCAAAAGTTATCTATATTAAACTTCTTACTATGGTATAGGAACTCTTAAATTGACAATATATTTCAATTTTAAAATGCTACTATTCAACATAGAGGCAAAATTTTCAAAATTTGACCAGTAACTTTGTTCTTTATAACAAGTTCTACAAAGTTACTGGTCAGATTTTGAAAATTTTGTCTTTATATTGAGTAGTAGCATTTTAAAATTGAAACATATTGTCGATTTAAGAGTTCCTATACTGTTACCATTTCATCAAAAAAATTTGTAATTACTTAATTATTGATCAACAAAAATTAAGATATATTACAAAGAATAT